GGACAGGTCAACAACAATCGTGACAGAATAACAAACGCTGAGTATGTTATAACTGACACGACGGACAGGTCAACAACAATCACGACAGAATAACAAACGCTGAGTATGTTATAACTGACACGGCGGACAGGTCAACAACAATCACGACAGAATAACAAACGCGGCGTGAGCTGATTACGTCACGAGACGATACTAACAAGGATCGTGACAGAATAACAAACACGACGTCGTGCCAGAATAAACACTTATAAAAAGAATAAACAGGGTACGTCACGCGACGATGGTACCTCGATGGTCATGGGTGGGAGGAACCAGACATCGCAGACGATCGCCCAGCTTGTCATCATCATGATGAGATACTCGATCATACCCTGCTTGCTGCTGTTCCAGAACGGATCCCCGAACCGAGGGTCGTACTGTCAAAAGACGAGAAGAAAGACGAGGAACGGTCAAAGCGGGGGTAGTACTGTCAAAAGACGAGAAGAAAGACGCAGAACGGTCAAAGCGGGGGGTGTACTGTCAAAAGATGAGGACGCAGAACAGTCAAAGCGGGGGCGTACTGTCAAAAGACGAGAAGAAAGACGCAGAACGGTCAAAGCGGGGGTCGTACTGTCAAAAGACGAGAAGAAAGACGCAGAACGATCAAAGCGGGGGTCGTACTGTCAAAAAACGAGAAGAAAAATGCGGAATGGTCAAATCAGGGCAGTACCAACGCTTGGGGGGGAGGGGGTGACGGGTCAAAGCCGAGTAAGTCGTGAAACGGTCAAACCGGGGTCGTACCGACGCCTCGACGCTTACACGGCATGCGTGGCGCCATCTAACGGCTAGTCAAGAGTTCCCGGTTAGTTTTTTCTTCTACTGCAGGCAAGAGCACGCCGTAGCAGGGCCCGCTGCGATTGGTGGAAAATTACATCAAATTAGCTCGAGGGTTGACATGCCCAGCGGTCCCCCTCCCCCCCGATTGGAGCGATCCAGGATGCGCAAGTGTCAAATGCATTCTGAGTTGAGCGGTGTACTCCGAGCAGATACTGCGACTAACTGACGGATTAACCTAAGATTGAACGAACGAAGGTACCTTGATTGCAGCCGGGTAAATGATGCCGCCGGCTTCGAAGCTCCCTTTCTTGAACTGCATCACGGACGTGTTGTTTATGCACGTTCCTGGAACAACGCGAGAACACCACGAGTGGACGTGAGATTAGCTGAAGATGCCAGTGTGTACTCTTAGCTACACCTTCAGATTATTAGTCAGAAGCTACTAGTCAGATACTAGTCAGAAACTAGTCAGAAACTATTCAGAAACTACTCAGAAACTAGTACGATTCAGCAGAACTACTCGCTTGTATGTCGTACCATCATCTATATGATATCTCATGATATCTTAATCACTTTACTAGTACAGAATATGCTGAAGTTTTTTGTTGTTTTTTGTATATATTTTTTTCTTCATGTTGTATAGCATTGTAATTGTACTGT